GGGGGGGGATGGGATAACAATGTTAATGTTAAAAATTATTACCATAATAATACCACTCAGTACTGTAGTATTTGAATAACTACCTTTTTAATATGTGGTATTTGAAAGGTACTTCAAAGAATAACTTGGTATTAGCATGTTATAGTTGTTTTTATGGGTGATAGACCATGTACCCAGGATATAGATACAAACTATAACACTACTTATTTTTAGTATTCTGAGGTATTTTAATCACATATTCATGATATGTAAAGTAATAATGGCCGTATTTAGCTGATTAGGTCTCTGCGGCAATGAATGGCTCAACTGGCTGTAATAAAACTAATGAGGGAGGAACCAGATTATCCATTTATGTGTAAGTGATATGGTGTTACTCATGGGCATGGCACAATTCATCTTGTGGGTGTGGAAAATGTGAAATAGCACACCTCTACACGACTCGTGGTCGTATAACTATAAATCGATGCTGGCTCAAAGCCCATAGTCACATGGAAACATGTTGTACTGTCAGCTTGAACCAGTCTGGTGATTATTCTCTGATTTCATTCATTAAAACAGGGATCGCTGGATGTTTTCATGCACCACCATTCCTCATACACTTTAGAGACTGTTGTGCATGAAAATCAGGAATCATCCCATGGTGAGAGAGAGTCAAAGATCATATTTTGTCTCCATTTTGACGTTTGGTTTGAACACTTGGCCACGGTCTGCGTGCATTTATGCAGCAGGTTGATGAGATATTTGCATTAAGGAGCAGGTGTACTGTTTCTGAGTGATATACATCACTATCTGAAAGAATATATGCAGGTGTGTGTGTGTGTGTGTGTGTGTGTGTGTGTGTGTGTGTGAGATATATGTGCATTATGGTAATGTGAATTCTGGGAACACGCATACAAGCATCGTAGGCTATGGTGAGCGGTAAGTCATAGATTTTTAACATGTTTGAGGTCTCCACCAATGCAACATTATTTGATCCAAAATACAGTAAAAGAGTAATGTTATGAAATATTACAATAAAAAAGTTTTCTATTTTAAAAATGTAATTTTTTCCATTGATGGCAAAAGAGCTGCTTAATATTTTTGTGGAAACGTCACGTACTTAAAAAAAAAAAAATTTAAAGGGGTCATCTGATGCGATTTCAATTTTTCCTTTCTCTTTGGAGTGTTACAAGCTCTTGGTGCATAAAGAAGATCTGTAAAGTTGCAAAGACTAAAGTCTCAAATCCAAGGAGATATTCTTTATAAAAGTTAAGATTCAACCACAAACGGCTCGTTCTAACGCCCCCACATGTCTACGTCACAATGTGGGACGATTTGCATAACGCCACCCAAATGTTCACGCAAAGAAAGAAGGCGTAACTTTTATTCTTGCTGTAGTATTGTTGTTGCCGCCGCCGCCATTTCGTGAAGGCGCTGTGTGTTTCGTTGTGAAAGCGAAACTACTTTGTTTGGTCTTCCAAAAGAGGACGATATC